AACTATCTCTCCCTCTCGAGCACTAGTTATTCAATCCTTATGCCCTGGAAACTGGACGTCACACGTCGGCACGATCCCAAATTCCCGGGCTATCCCAATGACCTCATGCTCTTATATCTACATCTGAGATCAGGAACTGAAAGGGCAAGATGGCTACCTATCGGGATTGCATAGGGTATGAGTGAGTGTCCCTCGTTATGGGATGATGAACCTGATCCCGAGAAGCTACTAGTGCTAGACATGTTTTTAAATATAAAAGCTTAAATTATCTAAAGGTCACGAGCCCTTACCTTAAGCCTAAACCCAAGGTGGTCCGAGGAATAAGTGGAGAGTGAAAAGTGACAAATGAGGTGGGGTAGGGACCTATTTAGATGATTCTGAAGAAGGCCAAAAGTCTCTCAATCCTGGGCGTCCATTCCCTGCCACGTGGCAACCATCCATCTAGGCTAATCAGTGGCTCGAATATCAAAGCCACGTGGCACTCTATAACGTACTTAGAAGGCTCGCCATTCTTAAAGCATAACCTATTTTCAAGGCTGATCAGTCCCATTCTCAAGGTTGATAAGTCTATTTCAAATGCTGATCATGCCAAATCAAAGGCTGAGCAGCCCTATTTTCAAGGCTAATCAGTTCCATTCCCAAGGCTGATCAGTCCCATTCCCAAGGCTGATCAGTCATATTTCAAATCATGACTAATCAAAGGCTGATCAATCCTATTTAAAAGGCTCATCACGCCAATATTCAAGGCTGGTCATGCTTCTGTTCAACCTCTCTCCAGTGTTGCTCGTTCCTGATGTTGGAATGTACATCCCACCCCAGAACCTCGCACATCGAGAGCGACCCTTTGGCATGGATGCACGGGGGCTACAGATGATCCCAAATTGGCATAGGCCGAGCACGCACCCTAGAGAAGTAATGTTGTCCATCCCATCGATTTATGCGCTAACTCTTCGGGTAAGTACCTCGGTAATCTTGGCTCCTCGGTCACATAAGGGAACACCCCCACCTCTTAGATCTCGCCAGGGTAACTCCTCGGGAAACAACATTCCCCATTAGCTTAGGACTTCTTCGAGGTTATGGCTTAACCTCGTAGATACCTAGTAATCCTTGATCTATTAGGACTCACCTATATGATAAAGCTTATCCTATTTTAAGGAATTTGAATCCTGCTAAAAATATGCTACATCTTCCTGAAAGAATTCTACAAATGGAGTTTTATCTCTATCCAAACACATTGATGGTACAATACCAATTAAGTTACAACTTCTAAGCATGGTAGAACTCCTAAGATTTCAATAACAAAACCCTATCAGAAATGTACGACCTACCTCTATAAATACAAAGCATTGGATCATTATTAGGTACATTTTCAAATAACTTTCAGCATTTAATTTTCATGAATTCTCTCTTTGACTTAAGCATCGGAGAGGCGAAGATGACACACCTTGACACCTTTGTTTTAGGTACCGGAAGATCTTGTTCATGCTCGTTCTCAGTCTTTAAGCTCGAAAATCAACAGATACAATTTTTGGTAACATCAACGGGAAAAGGTGAAAATTGGAGTGAAAAAGAGCGTTTATGGACTAAATTGTGTTGTTTATAGAGAATGAAAATAGATTTGTAGAAGTACCATAAGCTGTCTGTGTGTCGAGTAGAGTGAAAAGGGATTGGGGTGGGGAGTTTTGGGAGTTGGTTTGCATTTTGCCAGGTGGATTGGGGCCCTAAACAACTACGAGAATAAGCCAAGTAGATTGGTACCTCATAATAAATAGTCGCTTAGGCCTCAAAATTCTTAGGGCCAGCCTTGCTCTTAGCTAGCTCTTCTCGTAATAACGTTACTTTTTTGTTTAAAGATGGTTATCTTTTTAAATGTACCAAGTTGTGTGTCCTTCGTACCTCACTTCGTGAGTTCCTTATTTGAAAACTTCATGTACGAGGTCTCGCGGGTCATTTTGGTCGAGGCAAAACAGTTTTCGTAGTCGATGACAGGTTTTATTGGCCTTCCCATAAGGGCGTTGCTCATATCATATTCCCTGGCGTGATCTTAGTATGGATTTTGTCCTAGGGTTGCCTAAAACCGTTAGAGGTAATGATTTTATTTTCATAGTTGTAGATAGATTCTCTAAGATGGCCTATTTCATTCCTTGTTCCAAGTCTACCGAGGTATCCTATATCGCTAAGTTATTCTTCAAAGAGGTTGTTCATTTACACGGGCTTTCAATCACTATCGTGTTTGATCGTAATGTTAAGTTTGTTAGTTAATTTTGAAAAACACTATGAAAATTGTCTGGACGATTCTTAAATTTTCATTAGCATTCCACCCCAAACAGATGGTTAAACTGAAGTAGTAAATCGTAGTCTAGATAACTTGCTTTATTGCTTAGTTGGAAAAAAATGAATAATTGGGATGTCGTATTGCCTACTGCCTAGTTCGCATACAATAATTCAATTAATGTCTATCATTCATAGCCCATTTGAAGTCGTTCAAGATTTCTCCCCACGTCAATCACTAGACCTAGTTCCTTTACATCATGATTTTCATCCTGATACATCTACACAATTTTTTGTTGATCATATTCGTGACTTGCATGTTAAGATTAAAAGAAAAATTGCTTTAAGTAATGACCACTATAAAATGACAGTTGATTCACATCATAGGCATAAAGAGTTAAAGATTGGCAATTTTGTTATGATACGACTTGCTCCTGAACGTTTTCCAAAACATGTTGCAAAAAAACTTGACTAGATCACTTAGCCATTTCCCTATTATTAAAAGGTTTAGAATTAACGCTTATCTACTTTATTTGCCAATGCACTTAAATATTAGTCAAGTTTTCAATATAGCAAACTTATATCCTTATCGAGGCTTGAATCGAGGCACATTCAAGCCTCCGATTTTGTCTTCTAACATGTATGCAGGACAAGTTTCTTGGTCACCTCCTCAGGCCCCTATCACAACATTTTTCACTTCAAGATGTTGTTGATGAAGTGCTTGATGATTAGATCATTGCTTCTCAAAATGGGGTTTCCGTAGGTTTCTTATGCGTTGAAAAGGTCGTCCACTCAGTGATGATACTTGGATTGATGAAGAGGAGTTTTGCCAGTTAGATGCAAAGCTTTTGGACTCCTACATGAATTACACCTCGTCGGAGTCGAGTTCTTTTCAGCCGGTGAGAAATGATGCAACAAGAAAACAACTAAAAGTCTATTTAAGGCGAAAGACTAAGACTACGATGCATCAACACGAACACACGATACGCGATTTTTAAAAAAAAGTAGTAACACGACATGACGCGACACGTTGATTAAATTTTTTAAAATTCTTTATTCATATAATATAAATTTAGTTTTATACTTATTACTAATTTTTCTGGTTGAAATATTTTAAATCCGACACGTTGATTAAATTTTTTAAAATTTTTTATTCATATAACATAAATTTAGTTTTATACTTGGTATTAATTTTTCTGGTTGAAATATTCTAAATATGAGTACCTGTTTGTTATTTAATAATTAATTTGAGTTAAAAATATATAATATTTTTGATAAAAAGGAAAAATGATTATAGTAGAGTGTCCAAGTAGTATCAACATCCGACATGTATCGAACACGAACATGCCACCTTAGTTGAAATGTCTATGCAACGGAGGACTAAGAATTAGTATAATTCGAGTTTAACTTATTGCAGTAGTTTGATTTTGACATTGTTATCTTTTATTTCAAGTTTATTTAGATAGAAAGTTTATTTAATTTCAAAGTCCTTCTCTAAGTAAAGGGACTTAGGACAAGGTTTACAAATACACCTTAATTATATGAATAAACTATTTCTCTTGCCCTCAATTCTTTCCTTTGATCCCATTTTCTTCTTATTGTTCTTTATCTTGTATACTTCTGCATCAATGTCCCTACGAACATTGAAGAAACTGGACTCAAAGTCCTCTTAATCTAGACATGGAAGATGGATAATGACGATGAAGTTAATGTATTAGTAGGATATATTAAGAGTTGGGGGTTTATCTTAAAAAGTTTACCTTGTTAGGAGGAGTCACTTAATCCTTTGTATATTGAATATACGTTTCATCTTTTATTCAAAATGAAATATTACCCTTAACGTGCCTCACAAGATGTGGCTCATTTGAATACACCAATCTTGGATGCTTATTTGAGCTTAATAGATTTTTATACCATATTAAAACTTGAAATTTCATCTTAAAAATGTCCATATTGTTAAAAGAAGTAGCCCAAATTCTTGTATTTTAATTGTTAGCTTCATCTGATATATTACTCTTAACAAGATAAATTTACTACTTGTATGCACATTAAATAGCATGCTCGTATTATTACTATACATAGGAGTCTTTGATTGTATTTTGCAACTACTGAGAATTTGAATAGTAAATTTGTTAAGAGGTGTTATCCTTCTCAGCAAACTTTTCTGTCTCTTTTGGTTGATTTCATTTGTGGTCCCCTAGCTTATGTGTTAAGAGTCCATCTGACAGAATTGTATTCCATCAGTATTTAATCGTGATGAGCAATTTTTAACTTTCCTTCAATCATATCCAACCCAGTATCATTAAGTGGGCAATGTCAAGACAAGTTTTAATATTAGTATAGTTGCGTCAACATATATTATCCATATTTCATTGAGTTGGGTGCATTTTTATCTTCTTTTATGAATTAAAATTCGTCTTGACATTGCCCACTTAATGATCCCGGGTTGGATTCGATTGAAGTTAAGTTAAAATAGCTCATCACTATTCAATGAAATATGAATAATATGTTGACACAAGTGTACTAATCTAAGCTGATTTCAGAATATCAATCCCTCAACAACTACTAAAATTAAGATCTTCATGTAACAAATTAAAATTAATTGTTACTAAAATGAACAAACCATTGGTCAATTCAAGTCCTACTAATATAATGATCCAAAAGCAAGCATAAGTGTGGGAGCATTTTCTAAATGTGGTTTGTTCAGTAAGGAGTAAAGATAGACCGACCTGTAGGAGATATCCAAGACCAAACCTCTGAAACCAGCAAGCTCGTCCCTCTCAAAATCTGGGTCCTCCGAGAAGATTTCACCAAGAAACACATCTCTATCTCCACACGAATCAATTGATTCCTCCGCATTCAATCGTTTGGATTTGTTCAAGGATGATGACGATTTTGAAGCATTCACTCTGGTTCTTGTAATACCACCCCATAAACTGAGCTCGCGCTTGTGATTTCGAGAAGGAACTGAAGAATGAGAGCAAGTAAATACAGTGCCTCCAAATGCCTTTTTAACTTGGTAAACTTGAAATTGAAATGGAAAATGGTCGTTGGAGCCATAGCCACTGAAGAGGATCTTTAAGCGTCCCTGAGCTGTAAATTGTGCCATCACTTGGTTTCACAATTTGGCGTTGATCGTTACGCAGTTAAAATTTCCTTCTTTTAAGCTCACGATAATATATAAGTTGAATTGATTTGAGGTAGAAGACAAGAGAAAGATGGAAGGTAAACAAGAAAGCTGTTTTTGCTGCTCCTCCTCCTCCTCCTCTTCTTCTTCTCCTCCTCCTCCTTCCTCTTCCTCGTCCTCCTCTCCTTTTTGGCGTTATTTTTCCCTCTCTTTCTCCTGCTTCACGGAAAAAATCTACTGCCACATATTCATATCAGCGCTCTTCTTAAAATCTTCTACGAAATGACATGATTACCCCGAGAATATCTTCTCTCGTATATACTCGGGTTCCTCTATCTCCATGGTGAGAATTTTCAAACTAGCGGGGTCAAATGACCCATTTGGATTTTTTTATATAAAAGTCAATTTTGCCTTTAATGAAATGGGCTTTTATTGCAAATTATGTCCTCAAACTTTATAATTTTTAAAAACTAATTTTATTCTTATTTTTATTCGTCTTCACTAGATGTATCTTCTAAATCTG